GAAGGCTGGACTCGAACTGCTGAAGCGTCGACCATTTCTGGCCGGCAACTTTCAGCGTCATTAAGCCGCTGCGCCACCGCATCTTATGTTATATTTTAAGCATGTCAGGTTCTGGGAATTTGGAGTAATGTATTCTTAGTGTGCTGATGATATCTAGTCTTGGTTTTCAGTTTTGTATCAACTGAGTGAAGGTACACAGTACTGAAGCATTGTCTTATTAATAATGGAATAAACTAAAGACATTAAGATGAAGTCATATGTTGACAAGAAGCTGGATAGTTTCTGGTTCGGGAAGTTGATGCTTAGTTTGTTCTAGTTCAGATTGTTCTCTCTTTGAAGAAACAATCTGGAATTATTATTTTTTTTTGATCCAGTATTTTCTAGAGACACAAACGATTTTGGCAACACATTTTTATCAGCCCTGATCTTTCCTGAACAGGACTCACCTAAACACAATAGAAGAATCCATTCTTTAATAATATCTATATTAGTTTACTGTAACACAGGAGTTGACAATCTAAGCAATCTTCAGGTGTTTGGGTATAAAGAAGCCATAATTCCTGATCAGATACCATGGAGGCTGTGGTTTATACAAGTTGCACTCTAAAAACATGTAAGTTGTCCTTAGAATAGTTAGAAGCTTCTCATAGTTTAGAATTTGACTGGCAGGATTTTTACTAGTTTGCATCAAATTACATGCATTCTAAAGTTATTAGATTATTCTTGTTCATTTCAAAGTGTTGGTGATTATTGGTCAATCAACAATCTATTACACTTTATGTGTAAGTTTGTGACTTATAATAAACTTTGCTGTCACTAAGAAGTATCTTGTGTATCTGCAGAACATTTATCAAGTAGAATACAATTACCTATTTTTTTTCTTACTAGATTAGAAATGCAAATTAGGTTTTAAATTTTGTTTAGTGTTATCTTTCACAGAAGGAGGAATATTGAGATCACTTTTTAAGGGACAACAAAGTCATGATTTCCCACTTCTTGCTGTCATGTATTGTACTTTAAAGATGGTAGAAATAGTTACAAATCAACAGCTGTTAGCATAGGGTCTTCTGGTTTTAAAAGTTACCTGACTTTAAGATTGGGGAAAAATTATTAAAGGTCCATGTGCTAGCAGCTTAAAGAGAAAGGTTTGGAGGAGAGTATATATTGGTATTAGTAGACTGCAAGAAGAAGAAGAATCAATTAATCTTTATTGTGGTTTAAAGCAGGAATTGGAGCCTCTGTTTTTTGTCCCAGTCAAGACCTGCTTTATATTTAGGAAATCTCTGGACTGATCATAACTTGGACAGGGTCTGAATTACCTCGTTTCTCCCATCTCTTTTTATTATACCATTTATTTGCCACTAAGATTTAAGTGTAGTTTAGTCATATGACTCTAAGCAGGTTACACAATCCAATGCAGTACAATCTAAATGTAAACTACAGTGGGGTAAAAAAGTATTTAGTCAGCCACCAATTGTGCAAGTTCTCCCACTCCAAAAGATGAGAGAGGCCTGTAATTTTCATCATAGGT